TTTTTATCATATTCTTAACTAGCTCGGGTGCAATGAAACCAAAGAGAATTAATTCCTGCATTCATTCCTCCCAATTTAAAAAGGGCCCCTGTACCAGACTGGTCTAAAGACAGGACTGCTGACCTCAATATCACCTTAAAACAATACCCACACCAGGATGAGAAGATGACATGAGGGGTGAACAGGTATTCCAAGATGCTGGGCCTGACCTATGTGATCATTTATAGTGTTTTCTTGGTTTCTATCATGGATACACAAACCCTATGCAGAGTTTAAAAATCAATCCAATTGTTGTATTTATGGTTGATTATCCATGTTCAGTACTTTTGGTTTACATTGGTGGATTTTTCCACTCCAAAGGCTTGATTGGATGGTCCTTAGGACATTTATTCTAGAAGAAAAAAGTTATATAGTTCTGCTCAAGCCCTTATTGATATTAATAGATGGGACTCCCTCACTTGGCTAATCAATCATACCTGCTCTGACCCTGGCCATAAATACAATTTTTCTTTAAAGGTTAAACACTCAAGCTCAATCAGAACAATGAGCTAAATTTCAGTCAAAAATCATAACCTCCTGCTTACTGGGAGAGACTGTCCCTCAATTATGGGATGGATTTATATTGTTAATACCATGCTATAGTCATTTAAATTTAAAGGCTTACTTATAGTGGGAACAATTAAATTATACTAAGGATAATGAGCTTAATAACCTTAAGAAATTAGGCTGAGTGAAGGCAATGGCAACCCAGTCCAGTACTCTTGCTTGGAAAATTCTATGGACGGAGGAGCCTGGTGGGCTGCAGTCCATGGGGTCACGAAGAGTTGGACACGACTGAGCGACTTCACTTTCACTTTTCACTTTCATGCATTGGAGAAGGAAATGACAACCCACTCCAGTGTTCTTGCCTGAAGAATCCCAGGGACGGCAGAGCCTAGTGGGCTGCCGTCTATGGGGCTGCACAGAGTCGGACACGACTGACGCGACTTAGCAGCAGCAGCCTTATGAACAATGTCAACTTATTATTACCCTTAAAGATAACTATTGGTATGGAACAGATGGGTTAGGTGACCAGGGGTCATATCCAATGGAACTTCTTGGTTTAAATGCTAACTTAAGGGACTTCCCTGGTGGTCCAGTAGCTAAGACTCCACACTTTCAATGCAGGGGGCCAGTGTTCTGTTTCTGGTCGGGGATCTGGACCCCACATGCTGCAAATGAGAATTTGTATGTCGAAACTAAAGATCCCTCACTCCACAACTAAGACTTGGTGCAGCAAATAAATAAATTAAAAAATCCTTACTTAAGACTTTAAAAAATGCTACTAACTGTACCACCTGTATTCTGCTTACTCTACAAGATTGTTGTTTTTCATATTACAACTGAGATTCTGACAAATATTCTGATGACTAAGCAGCTAGAAACAGTCAACCAAATATACAGCTGTTTAGTCCCTAAGTCGTGTCTGACTCCTTGTGACTCCATAGACTCAGTGCGTCCGGCTCCTCTGTCCATGGAATTCTCCAGGCAAGAGTACTGGACTGGGTTGCTATTTCCTTCTCCAGGAGATCTTCCCAACCCAGGAACTGAACCTGGATCTCCCGAGTCACTTGCACTGGCAGGCAGATTCTTTCCCACTGAACCACCAGGGAAGCCCTGACTAAATATATAGTTCTATATAAAATTAAAATAATTGTAATAATGAGAAGCCCAGCGTGCTGCAGTCCATGGGGTCACAAAGAGTCAGACACCACTTAGCAACTGAACAATAGTATAACTCTAGATATGGGAAGAAGCAACAAAAGGGAATCATTTCCTGAAATATAGCAGACTAGTGAGACAAGTGGCTCAGAAATGTTTATGGCTACTATTAACAGGGACATTAATAATGCACTGAGTGGCATATCAAGGGAATCCTCACCTGACCTAGCAATAAGCCTTCCTGGCACCAGGGGACAATCTGGATATGAAATGTCTCCCAAACCTTGGTTAAGTTTAGGACCACAAGGAGGCACTGTAAAACAAGGAATGTCACTCACCATCCAGTTTCACAAATCTACTAGATTAAGTCCTCAGCACTGACCTGCAATACACACCGAAAGAAATTCAGGATGAAGAACAGGGTGAGCCACTCTGTGCTTTGAGAAAACAGGCAAAACAGACCTTTCGATAGCTAGATATGATAGGAAATTTTTCTTGTGAACCCTAATTCTTGCATCTTCCCATACTTAGAAAAGCATTAAAATCATGAACTTGTTCCTCTCGACTAGCAGTAACCTTCCATCAAGATGTATGCTGGATTGCACACACCTCTTACCAAAATTACAGATATACTGGCCTCTCCCCCTACCTCTTGGGAGTAGTTCCTCAGAGCTATGGAAGGCTGAATTAAAAAGCTGATTCAGGGAGGGAGGGGAAAAAATAGATTTCTCTTTTAGAGTGTTGAGTTTCAGAACTGTTTCAGGAACATCAAAGGGGAGCTTACCTACATAAGAGCATTTGGGCAGCAACTTAAATTTAAAAAACAAAGAACTTCATTTACTTCATCGGAAAAAGTTCACTCCACTTATTTCCTTGAATCTCCACACCTGCTAAGAAGTGAAGATGTATGTTAGGATCTTCTGATGCCATCCAAAATCATGGCTTTCTCTGCCCACTGAAGCCAAATAAAATATGGAGACCAGGTTTGGAGGAAATAGAAAGGTGGCTTCAATCCTCAGGTGGAGGAGGGGAGACACAGCAGGCTCCTGCCTCAAGCACTGGGCCTCCCTTCCTTGAGAAATCAGGGAATTATATAGGTGAGGGTGCACAGTCAAGAGTCAGTGACAAGGAACAAAGGTGTAAGGATCTTATATTCTTCTTCCTCTTGCACTGTTTCAAAAACAGTTATAGACTGGAGTCAAGCAGCCTGTTAGTTGGGTCCATCGTCTTTCCTGAATTGTACTGGAGCCTTCCCCTGGGGATTCAGTTGGTAAAGAATCTGGCTGCAATGCAGGAGACCCAGGTTTGATCCCTGGGTCAGGAAGTTCCCCTGGAGGAGGAAATTGCAATCCACTCCTGTATTCTTGCCTTGAAAATCCCATAGACAGAGGAGCCCATAGGGCTATGACCCGCAGGGTTGCAAAGAGGTCCGTCCGACAGGACTAAACGAATTTTGCATGCATGCATGCACTGACTACAGATAGAGATATTCAAAGTAAAAAAAGTGCTCAGAAACGGGCAAGGGAAAAAAAGAAAACTTTTTCCTTTTTCTCACTGGAACACTTTTAGTACTTCATAGAATTAAAAAACAAAATTCACCCAAATACATTTCAAGTATCTAATTAGTTATAGAAGATTCATAAATTAGACAGCATCCCATCTCTCCAAAGGGCTATAGTAAAGGAACGGTTTTTAAACGCAGGACATGGAATCCACGAACAGAAGAAAAGATTACTTTAGGCATGAAAGTGAAAGTGAAAAGTCGCGGTAGTCCTGTCCAACTCTTTCCGACCCCCATGGCCTATACAGTCCATGGAATTTTCCAAGCCAGAATATTGCAGTGGGTAGCCTTTCCGTTCTCCAGGGGATCTTTCCAACCCAGGGATGGAACTCAGGTCTCCCGCATTGCAGGCATAGGTTACATATTTTATGGGGAACGGAAAGGGATCTATCTATATGGCAGATTATCTCAGCCTCCTTTGGGGACAACAGAGAGCCCGTGTGACAGATTGCCTCATTTATGCTAACCAAAAAATTCCTGACTAACTTGTAAAGACTACATTTATGGGTGACGTTGAAATTTAAGCTACGATAGGTACTAATGCTGCCTTTTTTATTGAAACGGGTCTGGAAGTTAGTGCCCTTCCCTCTCTAAAACTGAGAGAACATTTAGGAATCATCTGCAGAGTTAAGGTGTGGAAATGCTTTCAGAGGGAAAGGATGCATTTTTCCGGTTGAGTGCCTCTTACTGCTCCTCTAACACCCTTTCCCCTTTGTGTCTGTTAAGCGCGAAAATTTTTCTCAAAAGACCAGGTGCGCTCAGGCGCCTCTTTCTTAGAACTACATTCCCCACAATGCCTCCGGAGGCCCCACGTAGCTGGAGAACTACAATGCCCGAAATGCCAAGGGTCTTTTCTTTTCTTTTTTTTTTTTTTTTGAGGCGGATAAGCTTCCACTCCAAATTAAAAAATGAAGTTTACCCACTCTGTAGCCCAGATATAGTCACTTCTTTCCCCTTTCCTGCCAGAAACCCGTTCCTAGCTCGAACTTCCGACCCCATTCTTCTCCCAGTGGGAATAACTGGGATAAAGACGCAACAGAGAGTAGAGCGCATGCGCTGACCCGGGGGTTTGGGCATTTTGGGAGGCCCGCAGGTCCGGGCGCGTCCCGCCTTGCGCGTGCGCAGACGATAAACCAACGCCCCAGAGTTGAGGCGCGGGTGTAGTGCCGCATTTTAGTGAAGTCGCACGTGAAGAGCAGCGGTGGCCAGAGCCCGGTGAGTGCAAGCTGAGTCCGGGGCTCGGGGGCTGCACGCGGGACTCGGTGGCGGCGGCCGCTATAGGTGGGAGCCTGGCGGCCTCGAGGCCTGGCGAGCGCCTGTGGGGAGGGGTCCGAAGTCGCTCGGCGGGCAGTCTTAACTGCGGACCCGGATCCTCGTTGCTATGCAACAGGGGGCGTCGTTACTAAGTAACAGGGGAGGCGCGCGTTTCCGGGGAGAAGAGAGTTTGAGGTGCTGCTCCGAGGTCCGGTGGAGGACACGCGGCTGTCAGGTTTGCGGGACGAGGCCAGCGCTGAGCCCCTCGACCCCGACTCCCGCCTAGGGCTCGGCCTCCCGCGGCTTCACTCCGAGCCCTTTGGGGGTACCCCGAACCCCTGGGCCGCGCGGCGTCCCTTGCCGGCGACGTCACCCAGCAGCCTTGGCAGGGGACACGCTGTTCGAAATAGCACAAGCATGCCACTGACACCCTGTCTCGGGGAGGCCGGGCCCTGGGGAAGGCGCCGTGCGTATGGGAAGCTGCCCCTTTGCTAGCCGCCCTGCCCCCAAACAGTTGCTGGGCAGCAGCTGTTAGGGGTTTAGCGGGGGCTGCCCCCACCTGCCAGGACGCTGACTTCATACTCCCGAGTAGCAGCTTCACCCGGTCTAGGAGCTTCCTTTCCACGCAGCTGTGGTTTTCGAGTGGCCGCTGCATGTTTGGATCAACTTTAAAATAGTCCTCTCCGTACCTCTCCGTGGCTCTCCGTTGCCATGCTCACCGCTTCTTGGCGGGCTTCTAACACTTATTTAACAAGCATTTATTAGTCATTGTTCTGTGCTAGGCGCTGGGGATTCCAAGGAAGGTTAGCTGTCAAGTCTGAAGGGGAGGTGCTCAAAGTCTATTGGGGAAGGCAGGCATAAAAACTTAAGAATTATGCTACAGTGCAATGAGTGGTAAGTTGGCAGTTTGTGGGCTACAACTTTCCTATATATGTTTATAGTTTACGAAGTTCTTGTAGAAACATGTTAACTACTTGCATTAACTCTTAACCTCGTTTGATCCCATTTTAGATTTGAGGAGACTGAAACTCAGACAGGTTAAGTAATAAAGTAGAAGGTAGTGGCTTCTAAATTTTATTTCTTTTGGCCGTGCTGCAGTGCCTGTGGGATCTTAGTTTCCTGGTCGGGATTGAGCCCACACCCCCTGCACTGGAAGCATGGAGTGTTAACCACTAGACTGCCAGGGAAGTCCAGTAGTGGCTTCTAGTGTATGGCAGAACTGAGCCTGGGACAGAAAAGTCTAGAGTGCTTTGTACACTGCTGCATTTTGGGGGCTTTGCCCGAACAGTAGACTTTTCCCTGTGCTGCTGATCATTTGTGGCAGCTGTCCTGTTATGCATCAGAAATGCGCAAGGAGCTCTGAAAACAAAAGTCTGAACCTGACTCTGGGGAGAGTCCCAGTAAAGAAGCCTCAGGGGCTGGAGGGTGTAGGTGGGACAGGGACACTCCAGCTTGAGGAGGCTCACGCCCTTCTCATGGCAACCACAATTGAGAACTGCTGCTCCATGGGGGCAGTTTCTACAATGATGGGGAAATCAGGACCGGCAGAAGGCACAAAATCAGTTGCCCCTCCTGCCACGTTGTGATTTATAGTGCAAGAGGAAGCGACCAGGAGGAAAGAGCCTTGGCAGGGAGCCTGGGGACCGCCCCACGCTACCCTCTTAGCAAACCACAGCTAAACATATAGTGCCTTCTCACTACCACAGTTAAACGAAGCAGTTTCCCCAGTTCAGCCTGTCCCTGCCCGAGCCATATTGCTGCTGCCTAAACAAAAGCGGCAGGTCTAGTCCTGGCTTTTTGCTGCAGAACCATGACCTGTGAGCCCAGCAGGTGGGTCATCTTCTGGTGGGTGGTCTCCTTGTGGGAGTCTGGGTGTCCTCTGTCTGTGAGGTGGTTGATTTGGGGGCAGAACTTTAAACTCCTTGAGGGCAGCAACCATGTCTTAGTGAGGCAGGGTGGGTGGGGTATGGGAGGAGCAGAAGGGCACGGTTTAGATCCTGGGTTCTGGAGTCAGTTCCCTGTCCTGCTGTGTGAGCTTGAACACTTGATCTCTCTGAGCCATAGTTTTCTGAGTAAATGTGGAGAAATAGTAGCATCTTATAAGATTGTTGTGGACTTAGATGAGATGGTGAAAGAACAAGCACTTTGTAAATTATAAAGCAACACACAATTTGTTGTTGTTTGAGTGCCTGCTATTTGCTGAGACGTTTAAGACATCCTTCTTCTCAGAGCTCACGGTTGCTGCAGCCCCTGACTCCCATGGCTTCTTTTCATCAAAAGTATTTGATTGGGGTGAAGTGAGGAGGTATCATGGTGATGAGTTAGACCCTTGCTGAAGAAGAAATGAAGAGGAATCCTTTAAAGAAAACAATTTGAAGAAAAAAGGGAAAATGAAAGTGTTAGTCAGTTGTGTTCAACTCGTTGCGACCCTATGGTCTGTAGCCCGCCAGGCTCCTGTGTCCATGGGATTCTCTAGGGCAAGAATACTGGAGTGGGTAGCCAGTCCCTTTTCCAGGGGAATCTTCCCGACCCAGGGATCAAACCCAGGTCTCCTACATTGCAGGCAGATTCTTTACCATCTGAGCCACCAGGGAAGCCTTTGAAGAAAGGGAGTAGCCAGTAACCTGTTGTCTTATCTCCAAAGGGCTCTCTCTGGAATCGGGTTGGATTTGGTTTCTGGTACATTTCCGAAGGTTGACTGGCAGGCAATGCCAGCCTCACTGTGGAGAGTTTATTTCAAGGTCCCCCAAGTCTCCTCAGATTTCCAGGTGGCTCAGTGGTAAAGAATCCGCCTACCAATTCAGGAGATGTAGGAGCCAGGGTTCAATCCCTGGGTCAGGAAGGACCCATGGAGGAGGAAATGGCAACCTGCTCCAGTATTCTTGCCTGGAGAATCCCATGGACAGAGGAGCCTGGCGGGCTACAGTCCCTGGGGTCGCAAAGAGTCGGACAGGACTGAGCGATTGAGCACACACAACTCCCCTGAACTACAGCAGATGGATGCCTGAAAGTTGAGGCTGGCACAGAATGCAGGAGGCTTCCAGTTGGGGGTGGCGGGGAGCAATTCACGTCGCCTTGACCTTCTAGATAGGAGGAGACATCATCGGATCCCTCCGGATGGAGGTCCTTGGATATAGAATCCAACCCAAGATAGCAACCCTGCTTGTTAAGTCCTCAGTGCGGTCATGACCCAGATAGACCAGGAACTGACCAGTGCTTTCCTCATCTCTGACCACGGGCAGGCAGGAACCATCTGGTTCTTGATTTGTGCCAGGAAAAGAGTAGAAGGCTTCCTAACCTGAGGTTGTTCCCTCTGAACTGCCTGTTTTGCAGCCTGCCTGATCCTACAGGTCTCAGGAGGGATTTAGAGCAGCTGTTTCTGTGCCAGAAAGTGCCCCAAATGTGATATTTTTGTAACCGGTTTCTGGACCCTCCTACCCACTAAACAAGAATGAGAATATCTTCTCTTCCTTGATTTCTGGCTGACTACCTGAGGGCCCTGGTAGCTATAAAAACTTCAAACACCTGACTGCTCCTGCCTCAGGGGCCTGGTTAAGCCTCTGCTTCTCAAGTCTGAATCTCTGACACTCCCAGGAACTGCAGGTTCATTTCTGAGCCTGTAAGAGAACAGGGAATTTGCCGTTGCTGTTTGACTTTTCTCAAGCACAGTAGCAAATAGAAGTTGGAACTGAAAATGTTTTTCTTGGCTAAATTCACTGGTACTTCAATGAGTCCATACTTGTTGGGTCTTAACTTGCCTACAGCATCACATTACAGAGGAGATCAGAGCATAAAACACAAAGCAGTTAAGTGAATTATCACCAGTAATTCACGGAGTGGATTGGTAGATGCCAGGTCTATTGTAGCTCATGAATAATCTCTTGTGTGACTTTCCAAATCACTTGTGAGATTTAAGTTGAAGAGGATACAGTATGGTGGTATATGTGAGGGTGCTGATTTCACGTGCGTGCATGCTAAGTTGCTTCAGTGTCCAACTCTTTGTGACCCCACGGACTGTAGCCCGCCACACTGCTCTGTCCATGGGATTCTCCCGGAAAGAATACTGGACTGAGTTGACATGCGCGCCTCCAGGGGATCTTCCCAACCCATGGATCAAACCCAAGTCTCCTTGTCTCCTGCACTGCAGGCAGATTCTTTCCCGCTGAGCCACCAGGGAAGTCTGGTGTCAGGTGTACCTGAATTCAAATTCTGGCTCCCTACTTACTACTTATCCTTCCTCAGTTTCTTCATCAGTAAAATGGGGGATAAGAACCTACCTAATGGGTTGTTATGAGGATTAAATGAGATAGGTGGCCCATGGTTAACTTTTTATTATTAATAATATTGTTCCTTAAAAGTTGTGCTTTAGCTCTTTGCCTCCGTTGGGAGCTGGGGAGTTGAGGTCATTCAGTGTGAGTGGATCTTGACTTTGCACAGTGGAAACCTGTGGGGCGCTTTTGCAGGTCCAAGCCCGGGCCATACTCACCGTGACATCAGAACATCCTGTCTTAGGGCAGAGGCATCAATAGTTTGTGAAGCTTTCAGATGTTTCCAGTGAGCAACCACAGTTGTGATCCACCTTCACTTCTGTGATTTGGAAGCCGAAATTTGGGTCCAAATCCTGGCCTTTCTCCTTAGCTCTAGTGACCTTGGGCAGATGCTTAAATCCTAAGTCTCAGCCTCTTCTCTCTACCCATAGTGGTGAGGAGAATAAGGACCATCTCACATTATACTCCTGCAGAACAAATGGCCTGTGTACAGTGTGTTCTTATTTGAGCACCCAACCAAGCACATTTCTTTACATCTTTATAGAGTGGTAATCCTATTTAAGTGCAATTTTTAAGTTAAAAAAAAATATATATATATATACATAAGCTTTATCTAAAGTAGATTATAACCTCCTTGGGGACAAAGTCTTATAATTTTTTTTTTTTTAATGCCCAAAGCACCTAATACACAGAGGCAGGCCTTCAGGTTTTTAGAGCTGGAGTAAGCATCATAGAGAGCTTCTCATCCACCTTAAGGCACTGACTTACACTTACTGGTTTATTAATATGCAAGCAGTAAAGAATGTGAAAGAGGAACCCATGAATCAGATGGTTATGCCCAGCTGAGGTTGAAAGTCTCAGTTCTGTGTTTCTCAACTAACAGGGAGGGGTGAAGGAGGGTGCTGAGGCAAGTCACGCCCAGGACAGTGGGTTTCTCAGCCAGTTCGGGCCCTCACAAATGCCGTGCTTCTAAACCCTGGCAGATCCAGCCATGGCAGGCTCAGGCAGCAGTTCGCCATGGGGCAAGTATCTGTTCAAAGTCGTCCTGATGGTGCTCGTGGCCCTCCTGCTCCTGCACTCAGCATCTTCCCAGTCACATCGAGACTTCGTGACTCCAGGCCAGCAGAAGAGGGAGGCCCCGGTTGATCTTTTGAGCCAGATTGGTCGCTCTGTGCGGGGAACCTTGGATGCCTGGATTGGGGCAGAAAACATGAACCTGGTTTCTGAGGTAAGGAGGGTGTTCCCTGCTGTGACCGCACACGTTGAGGACAGAGGAGCTGTCTTGTTTACGGCCGCTCGTCTTGACTCCACATCCTCTGTATCATAATCTGCGAGGCAGAGAGCCCCCCTTTTCCACAGAATGAAGCTAGACAGCCCCTGCCTTTTGCACCCACTTTGTTGCATTCCTACCCCAGAGCCTTTAGCTCCACCCCCCTCTTTCCCTTATCCCTGCCTTTTCTTGCCAGAAAGACTGGGAATGAGCCATCTTTGTAAACCTATGTCACTGGTGACTATGTGTCTCACTTTGGTCTAAATCTGACCTAAAGTCTTAAATTGGCAAAATATCAAGACCTGAGTCCATTCTTTCACCTGGAGAGGGGGGAGTGGAGATGACTCAGGGCCTTAAGGCAGGGCTGTCTCTTCTACCCAGTGGCATCCCAAGCATGTTACTGCATACTTTTGATAGGTCTTATTGAATACCTGAAACAAAGATCTTACCATTTATAAGATCCATAATACAGAAGAGCCGATTGACTTGGTTGTCACTGAAACATCCTAGCCCTTCAGGGATGCTGCTTCCCAGACCTTCAATACTTGGGAGGCTGGAGGAGCCCCCCCCCCCCCCCGCCACCAAATTTTATAGGGTGACTGCTTCAGGGATTTGATGATTCCCCCACATACCCACATTCACCCACTACCACCACCAAAGTATTTGAGCACATCAGTTGAATTAGGGCCCCAGTGTCATGGGTTCCAGCTCAGGAAGGAGAAATGGCCCATCCCCACACACTGGAAGGTGGCTGTGGAAGGGACCCCTCAGCCAGGCCGAGAAGCAGGTGGAGGCGTTCCTGGCTGGTGGTGGCAAGGCCTGGAGGAGAAGAGCATCATTAATTATGGACTCATCTCGTGCCCTCCTCTTCCCACAGACATTGGCACAGATAATGTGGGCCATCTCGTCAGGCATCTGCATGGCCTTCTTCGTGCTGTCTGGGATAGTTGCTCAGTTGCTGAACACCTTGGGGCTAGAAGGTGAGTGGCAGAGAACTGGTTAGGTCAGCTGGAGCTTAGCGTGTCACTTCCTGTTTGTGAGAGTTTATCTTTCAAGGTCTAAACTTTTCCCTAGCTATTTAACTCCTCCCAGGTCTCCCCAGAGGCAAGCCAGTGGCATCCCTGGCTACTAAGAGCAGGCTACTAACTGTGGCATCGTGCTAAGCCGTAGGGTCTCTTCTAACCAGTACCCACAGAGGCTCACTCCCATTTCATAAATGCAACAGACTCAACCAAGGGAAGGAGTCTGCCCACAGTCAGCTGGACCCGATGCTGGGATTTAAGCTCCATGACCCAAGGGGAAAGGATTTTTCCTTGGCTAAGGGGGTTTGGCTCTTCCCCTTTTAATTGGTCCTTGAGAGCACTCCCCACTCCCTTCATCGTGCCAGTGTGGCTGATTCTATAACTCTCTCCCCTTCCAGGAGATCACCTCACCTCGGGCCTGCAGCTCACCCCCAGCCAAGTCCAGACCTTCCTGCTGTGGGGAGCAGGCGCCCTGGTTGCCTACTGGCTGCTGTCAATACTCCTCGGCTTGGTCTTGGCCTTGCTGGGGCGGATCCTGTGGGGCCTGAAGCTTGCCCTCTTCCTGGCCGCCTTTGTGGCCCTGGTGAGGTCCGTGCCTGACCCCTCTACCCGGGCGCTGCTCCTCCTCGCCTTGCTGACCCTCTACGCCCTGCTGAGCCGGCTCACTGGCACCCGGGCCTCAGGGGCCCAGCTGGAGGCCAAGGTGCGGGGGCTGGAACGCCAGGTGGAGGAGCTGCGCTGGCGGCAGAGGCGAGCAGTCAAGGGGCCCCGGAACGTGGAGGAGGAGTGAGAGGGTCGCCGGACACCGCCCCCTGCATCATACCAAAGAGCCAAGCTGCTTCTGGGTCGCACAACCCTCCTTCCAGCCCCTTGCCCTTTCTCGCCCTGTCTCTGAACCTTTCAGACCTTTCTCTCTGCAGTCCCCTTAGCCGATAGAGGAAGACCATCCCCTGACTTGTCCTCAGGGGCCCTGTCCTCTGAGGTTCTCTTGTCTGGGCTTGGTTCCCACTCTTTCTCTGCTCCCATCCTGCCTTAGCAGGACAGGTGGTTGGCAGGGGGCTCCTGCCAGCTTCTGCACCCACTCTCAGCGAACACCCCAATCACTGCCGATGGCCTCCATGACTCAGCCACGACTTGCCTTCCTCCAGTGCTCTTTCCCTCCTGTCCTTCTCTACCTCTCCCTTTGCCAAGTCCCCTGCTTCCATCCTTGTTTGTCTCTCCTCCTAGCCCTGTACTCCAACCAAACCCCAGTCCCTAAAGGCATGCTCCTGTCCCTTTCATTGCCCGGTGGTGGGGTTGGGGAGAGGCAGGGCCTCTGGAGCCTGAGGGCAAACAGAAGTGGGGAAGTTCCCACCTGGGGCCGGGGCTGAAACATACCTTGAGTCTGTTACAAGTGCCTTAATCCGAGCCAGCGGGGTTCTCCGTTTGCCTGCTGCTGCCATACTGTATGTAAGAAACTGCCCTGTGGCTGCTTTATGTCAAGAGGAAAGTGGTTCCTCTCGGATTCTTGATTCCCCTTCAGCCAGAGCAAAAGATGACTGCTTTGTAGGCTTGTGCCTGCAAGTAGGACCCTGCGATGGCCGTGAGCCCCCCCCGTGGGGGTCTCAGAGACCCCGAAGGAGGAAGGAGTACTCATCTTCCTGTCTGCACAGCTCCAGGCGGTTCTCCATCTCTCTCTCCGTCACTGCCACCGAGGAGTCGCTGATCAGTGGCCCAGGAGGAGTGCAACACAGACAGCAGAGATGTACCACACAGCTCCTTATGCTCTGCAGCTGAGATATCCCCACTGGTGGGGGGTGGGGGGCACTCATTTCTTCCTCCAAGGCTCTGGTAGAGGTGGGTGGCCTCTGCCAGGCCCTGCACACGATGTGAAGAGTAAAGAAATGCCCAGTTCTTGCTGTTGAGGTTGAAATGGAATCACAGCTGCAGTGATATATATATATATATATATATTTTTATTGGCGCTTGGTTGGTTTTAAATAAAGTGCACGCTATTTTATTATCTCTTTCCGGATAAAATGTATTTGCTAAAAGTCTGGCTTGCCTTGATTGCTCCCTCTCCAGCTAAACCCATTTCTGCGGCGCTGCTGTTTCTCCCTGCAGGTGCCAAATAGGGAGAAAGGGAGTGATGAAGAAAGCTGGTACCAGGGATCCTTCCCTCCTGGGCTGTGAGGAATGAGGAGGGCACACCCCATTCCCAAACTGCTGGGACTGACCAGCTTCCAGAGAATAGTGTGCCTGGAGGGGAGGAGGGAAGGGACCGCTTCCACCCCTCTGTGCAGGAGGGGTAAAGGCTGGCCGCCAGCCAGGGACAGACAGACTGGCTTGCCTTCCCTGCATCCCCACCATGGTTCTCAACCGGGCCCATGAACTGGATCAGTTATTTCATGGAGGGGCCCTGGTGTCGGTTTTCCTTTTTAAACTGCCCAGGAAAGGCTAATGTGCAGCTGGGTGCCCCACTCTAGACCGCTCACTCCCAACACTGCTTGGCGGAGGAGGCTGGGCCAGGAGACTGGACCTGGGAGGCAGGCCTTCCACCTGGGGCAGAGAGGAGCCCTCACACTTCCAGACTCATAGGCTTCCCGCAGGGATGGGGCTGCGTGTACCCAGGCAGTGGTCCCCTGGCCCTATGAGCCCCCTTTCATCCCCTCTCCAGCCCTGAGCCTCGTTCCTTATAGCCCTGAATTCTGGTTCTGGTGTCAGTTGCCTTTACAGGTGAGCAGCTTGTGGAGTGGGGATGAAGCAGAGGACGTGGCTCTTTCCTCCTTGATCAGGAGCTTCCCAGAGAGGGAGCGAACCGAACACGTCGTCCTGTGCCTTGGCACAGCCAAATCGGTCCCCAGGGAACTGATCTGGTCCGCCTCTAGCACGGAGGCGGTCGGGACTCGGGATCCGCGGGGCACTAGGACCCAGCGGGGCCGAAGGGCAGCCCGAGCCTCGCTCGCTCCCTCCCACCCTCCTGCTCCAGCTCCGGCTCCCGCTCCATTGTCTGGGAACTGCAGCCGCCGGGCGGGCGGACCCGCGGTCGGGCGGGCTGCACCGGGGACTCACCCGGCCGGGAGATGCCGGGTGGATCGCGGCCACCTGAGCCGCCCGCCTAGTCCCCGCCTTCCTTGGGAAGGATGTGCGCCTGGATGGCGGGGCGCGCGGCGGCGGCTCCCCGGGGGCCCTGCGGCCCCTGGCTCTGCCTCCTGGTGGCCTTCGCCCTGGACATCGTGAGAGGTCAGCGGGAGGGACGGGGCGGGGCGAGGGGCAGCCGGGCCCAGACTGAGGCCGGGGACGGACGAGGGATGCTCGGGAGCCGGGAGTCTTCGAGTTCTGGAACGAAACCCCGAGCCGGGTGGCCCGGCAGCGTGCCCTGAGGGTGGAGAGGTCTCACCCCCCGGGATCTGGCCCCCAGCCCCGGGCCTCTGTTGCTTCCCTCACTTGCATAACCTGGCAATTCCTTCCTGATCCAGGACCAGCGCGGTTCCCGGTCTCTCGCGCGTCATCCTCCCACCCTCGACGAGTCCCCGCACCTTCTGCGAGCTTCCCCTCCAGCCGGGACCTCTAACCTGGTTGCCTCCTGCCCCGCACGCACCAACTCCCTAATTGGCTGTCCAGAGAGCTGTAGCCCTGTGGCTTCTAGCCTCCTCCCCTCTGCCCAGGACCTGAGAGATCCTCACTGCCTTCCCCCTGCGCGGAGGAGCTCTCTGACCTTAGAGTCTCCAGAGGTTGCCCCATCCCTGCCTTCCTGAGTATGGGGATCCCTGGAGGAGGGGCAGAGCCTCCCCTGGACCCCGGGGGTGGGAGTCAGACTGCCCCTGGCGTGGACTGAGGCTGCTAGGCAGATGATGCCAGAGAGTGGGGGATAGTGAGACATTCTCTGCCCCCTCCCCCCTCCCTCACAAGAGAGCTGAACTCTGAGTGATGGGAGTCCCTGGGAGTTAGGCCACAAGAGCATGTTGTAATTATCCAGGCAGCGGAGTAGACAAGAGGACCAGAAGCCAGGGTCTGACCCCGGGGAGCCAGTCACTCACCTGTTACACTTGGGGGTGGGGGGGGAGAGGTGAAGCTTCTCACCACAGGCTGCTTGGTGGGGAGGGTCTTGAAGGAGGTTGAAACCATCCAGTCCCCCAGCCCAGCAGTGGGGCTGAGAGTGAACTGGCTCTAGGGCTCCTTTCAACCACCTGCTCCCCTCCCTGGGGACCCAGCAGGAGCCTAATAACCCCTCACACAGAGAGAAGAGGAAAGGCTTGTCACATCTATTATGCAGCAGCAACAACCCCTCCTCCAGTGTGGCACGGTTTACAGAGCCTCCGCTGGCTACCATGTCACCAAGTGCTCCTTTTACTGGTGAGGAGATACTGACCCAAGCTTCATCAGGGCAGAGTTAGGACATAAATGCAGGTCTCCAGGCCCCCAGAGGGCCTCCCTTGTGGCTCAGCTGGTAAAGAATCCTCCTGCTGTGCGGGAGCCCTGGATTTGATCCCCGGGATGGGAAGATCCCCTGGAGAAGGGAAAGGCTACCCACTCCAGTATTCTGGCCTGGAGAATTCCATGGACTATAGATCATGGGATCGAAAAGAGTCAGACACGACTGAGGGACTTTCACTTCAGGTTCCCAGATCATGCACTCCAGGAATCGGGGATTCTGGGATGAGTGTGATAAGCGCCCTGGTCAACAGACAGGAAAACTAAGTCAAGAGGAGGCAGCCAGGGTGAGAGGGCAAGCAATCAAGGAGGGCTTCCTAAAGAAGGAGGCAACATTCACTCTTGGCCCTGAAAGAGGAGGGAGGCGAAGACAAGAGACCTACAGTCTAGGGAGTGAAGCCCGCAGGGGCCCAGTGGAAAGGAGCCCGGGATGGAGAGAGGGGGAGGCTGGAGAGACAGGTTGTGTAGTGGTTGGTGGCTGGGCTCTTTGACTCCCAACTCCACCACGCTCCAGCTATGGAACCCCACGCCAGTCCCTGAACCTCTCAACTTCATTTTCTACAACCATAAAATGGCATTAATAGTAATAAACCTAGTTCTCAGAGCTATTATAGAACACAAAAGCGTTAACATGTGCAAAGCATTTAAAATAGTAACTTGCACACAGTTAACTTTCAAAAAATTATTATTAGGACTAGCTAGTAGTCAGTTGATACAAACCAGATATGCTCTGAGGGGTCCTTTGCCCTTTTGAGTGTTGAATACTTTGACTCCCTCCCCAGGCTTACGTACGGTTCTTGCCCCTTACCCCATTCCCAGCTTGCCCTCCAATACCCAGCTGGGATGGGGTAGAAAGAAGCAAGTTTGAGAAACCAGTGCAAGGTTGCCATGGTGATGATACAGTGGCAGCAAGGGTGGATGCCCAGCCAAGTCTGGCCAAGGACCCAGGGGGCAGAGGAAGAGTCTCTATTTCTACAAAGCTCACCTCGTCACCATCTTTTATTACCACATGGACCCTGTCTGGGGAGGGCTTGGTGTCACACAAATGCCTTGGTGTCAGAGGCAGGTAGGTAGAGGGCAGGAGCCGGTGGGGGAAGAGGAGACATTGAGAAGGTTCTGCCAGTGGGAGGAAGGCCTGGGTCTGTGGAAGGCAGAAGGAGTGACTCAGAAGCTGGCAGTCAGTCCTGGATGGAGAGCCAAATCCCGGCCCCAGTTACCTGTGAAATGGGGAGACTCCCCCCTCCAACATCCTGGGAGAATGGGACTCAAAACTCTCTTCTTCCTCCACTGCCCATGACTGCTGTGCCCTGGGCAAAGCTGGGTTCAGCCCCTGCCCGCTCGGAAGCTGCCACCACCCCTACCCTTTCTCCCTCCTTAGTGGACTGTGACCAGGATCCCCTGGACCCCGTCTACCTGCCGGCGGCCCTGGGACTCCTGGATGCCCCTGAGCACTTCCGTGTGCAGCAGGTGGGCCGCTACCCCCCTGCTAACTCCTCTCTGGGCTCCCGATCTGAGACCTTTCTGCTCCTGCAGCCCTGGCCCAGGGCCCAGCCACTTCTCCGGGCCTCCTACCCACCCTTCGCCACTCAGCAGGTAAGGAGGCGCCGCCAGAGTCTCCTGGGCTACCGGGACTGAGAGCCGAGGTCTGCTATGTGTGGCTCAGGGCCCTTATGCAGCCCTAGACATGCTCCCCCTTTCCCAGAGGGGGAGAAGGAGACTTATCAAGGCTCTCTCTTACTAGCCTGAGATTTCGCGTCCCCCTGAGATTTCGCTAACACCCTGCTTTGCTGAGCACCCCCGTTCTCCCTCCAGGTCGTCCCTCCTCGGGTCACTGACCCACACCAACGTCCAGTCCCATGGGACGTGAGGGCTGTATCAGTGGAAGCGGCCGTGACCCCAGCAGAGCCCCAAGCCCGTGTCCTCTTCCACCTCAGAGGGCAGGATTGGCCCCCAGGGCCTGGCAGCCTGCCCTGCGCCCGGCTCCATGCCACACACCCTGCAGGCACTGCTCACCGAGCCTGCCGCTTCCAGGTGAGTGGGGGCCCCACCTGGGCTGGCCCTGCTGCTGTGCCGGCCAGAGGGTGATCCCAGAATAGGGAAGAGAGGGCTCACCACTTCTGGGAGGTTTGGGGTTCACAGACCACCTGATTCCATTCCTGCTCTGCTAGCTCTCACAGAGCTCTGCTATTGGGGGCCCCTTGAGGAGTTCAGTCCATTGTACATGACTTTGGGCAAGTAACTTAATCTCTCTGAGGCTCAGTTTCTTCATCAGTAAAATGACATAATAGCAATTCTTACCTCATATGGGGCTGGAATAAAGAAATGAGGACTTCCCTGGTGGTCCAGTGGTTAAGACTCTGCCCTTCCCGTGTAGGAGGCGCAGGTTTGATTCTTGGTCAGGGAACTAGGATCCCACATGCTGTGAAGCGTGGTGCAGCCAAAACAAAACAAAAATAGTAATTAAAAAAAATAGAATAAATGAGAGGGATGCAAGAATAGCTTTTGGCACAGTGCCTGGCACAAGAGCAATCCCTCAGTGGGTGTTTATATTATTGTTAGTATTGCTTTTATTGTTGCACTTTTCCCTCTTTGGCAGCCTAG